TTATCAACCTCGTCACCATCCATCCACAATGAATTTCACCGATTTTAACCCCGCCAATAATCTGCCGACAACACTCCATGAAAATGTATCCAAAATTAACCCGTGGCCCAAGATCCGATTTGGTGGCCATCCAAAGAACCATGATCTCTTCTCTTGAAAGCTTACCAAGATCTTCTTGTTGACTACGGCATAACAAAGGACCCTATGAAGAATCCTAAGGGTCGGATGAATGATTTCACTAGCAATTGAGTTCTTGGAATCAAAGGTTCTTTTATGAGCAATGGTTCGCCACCAAGCAACCTCATTCTAAGTGGTCGGGTTTAAAAGGAGTGGCTCATGAAATTCTGCATGAGGGTTGAACCCGACAACTTCATTGAATTCAAAGAGGTTTAAAGTGTGTTTGACATTGAACAGCTAGAATGAAATGAGATAATCTGAATCCCCCACTCGATTAAATTCAAATGTTGAGAAAAATTCGATGGAGGGTTCCAAGTATGTTATAGGAGCAGTTCGAACAAACTCAGTCAAACGGAGGTTGAGGAGGAGGATGTCAAGGTCGGATTGAATTCCTAACTTCACCATGTCATCACGATAGTAATTCCGAGTCGGTCTAAACTTTCAAGATTTCATTTTATTATATAAGGGAGCTTGTTTAGACCGATAGTAGAATTTGAGAGGTGGAAGAGGTGGAGGTGGGTTAGTATCTTGAGGATTAGAATTAGGAGGTTGGCTTTGAGAAGATTGGCCATGAGAATATTGGCTGGGTGATTATGCGAACGTTTCTTGCTACTTTTGGCTTTTCTCAACAAATCCATGATTACCAAATCGAAAACATTAAAAAGCTCAAAGGAAATCACACCAACACTTCTTAACACCAATTTCAGAACCAATACTCCACACAACTACACAACACCCCCAATACTACAAGGTACCTGGTTCAAACAACAAAACAACCAAAATACAAACAACAACCAACACAATTAACAATTAATGTCAAACGAAACCCAAACCACTCAAAACAATTACAAGATCAACAAAAAAATATCCATAATCATCATATGCATTCTAAACCAAGGTATACCAAAATCAATGCATAAAAACAATAAAAATCAACAAAAATAAAGCAAGGGTTAGGATTATACCAAATTTGTAGACACAACGAAGCACCAGAACACCAAAAACGGACTTAACACCAGGCAAGCTTGAAAATGCTTCAAAAACCCAAATTTTCCCAAAAAATCACGAGAAAAATGCTCCAAACGTGATGACAATGGAGAAATGTAAGAGATTAAGGTGAAAATTTAAGTGAAATCAAGCAATTTGGTGTAAAAATTATGAATTGGGGGTTAGGGTTTGAAAGGAAAGATGAGAGAGAAAGAGTGTAAAAGATATGTGAAGGTGAAAATAAAAGAGGAGAGAGAAAAAGAAATCGGTCTAGTGAAATAAACCCAGCTCGTCGCGCCCGTGCACGACATCGCCGCTCCCGCGAGGAGCTCGCAGATAGCCCGCGGCAAGTTCCAGGAAAGTTTTATAAATTTTACCTGAATAAAGGGTCCACTGGCTCTCCAAATTCGACGTGCCCGCTCCATCATGGCCGCGCCCGCGGGGAGTCCGCAGCTGAAAACTGAAAGTTTTCTCCAATTTTTGCTTCAACAAGGAGTCGCGCCCTCTCTGAATGACCCGCAGCCGCTCCCCTCAGCCCGCGGGGTAACCGCGAAGACTTCCTGGTCAAAAGTTTTAAAAATTGACATTTTAAACCTTAGAACTCCCGCGGCCTCTCCGTGCCCGCGGGGTGCCTTCTCCCCTACATCAAATACTCTTCTTCTTGCACTCTTCTTATTATTTACCCTATATCCATAGTCGATGATGGAAAACAACCTAAAAAACAAAAGAAAACAAGAAAAATAGTAAAAACAAAGAATAATCAACAAAAATAAAAGAAAGAAAAGAAATGAGAAGAGAGGTTTAGAATCCAGGTTGCCTCCCATAAGCGCTTTTGTTTAACATCGTTAGCTTGACGATTACCATCCACTCAAGGTGGTTGTCAGAGAAGCAAAGAGTGAGCAAGGCCGACAAAAGCACCGTCAAAATACTTCTTGAGGCGATGGCCATTGACTTTAAACAAAGAAGAGAATCCATAATCGAAACCTTTAGAATACCACTTGGAAAGAAATTCTTGACCAAATAGGGACCGCTCCATCTTGACATAAGCTTTGCGGGAAACAACTTCATTTTTGAATTGTAAAGAAGAACTTTATCACCAACACAAAAATCGTTCTTCTTAATAAGTTTTTCATGTGTTGCCTTGGAACGATCCTTGTCCACACTAGCACAATCATAAGCATCAAGCCGAAGCTCCTATAGCTCATGAAGGTCCAACCACCTTTTCTCCCCCGCACTTGCCAAGTAAAAATTTATCTTCTTGATTGCCCACAAATCACGGTGTTCAATTTCAACCGGGAGTTGGCATGACTTGTCATATACTAGGCGGTATGGAGTGGTACCTATGGGGGTCTTGAAAGCCGTTCGATGGACCCAAAGAGCATCATCCAATTTCTCCGACCAATCTTTTTGATTTCTCGCAACCATCTTTTCAAAGATGAGTTTGACTTGACGATTAGAGACTTCCACTTGACCGCTCGATTGGGGATGATATGGGAGGCCAAATCTTTTATGGACTCCATGCTTCCTAAACATGTTATGAAAGGTGTGGTAAATAAAAAGAGAACCGTTGTCGCTTATCACCGCCTTTGGCACCCTAAATCTTGGAAAGATTATTTTCTTAGACAACTTCATAACAACCTTGTGTCATTAGTCAGGGAGGCAATGGCCTCGACCCACTTAGACACGTAGTCGACCGACACAAGGATAAATTGATTTTCGAAAGATGAAGGAAATGGCCCCATAAAGTCAATACCCCATACATCAAATACCTCTAACTCGGGTATGGGTTGTTGAGGCATTTCGTGTCTCTTGGAGATGTTTCCAACTCTTTGATTTTGATCACATGTCTTTACAAAGCCCCATGAGTCCCTAAAGAGATGTGGCCACCACAAACCGCATTGAAGGACCTGAGTGGAGGTCTTAGACACACCCATGTGGCCCCCGCTTGGATCCGAATGGCACATTTTCAAAACATTAGGCACCTCTTCATTTGGCACACATCGTCTAAGTAATCCATCGAACACTCGCTTGTATAAGATGGGATCATCCCAAGAATAATGCCTTGCCTCTCTCTTGAGCTTCTTTCTTTGATTATTAGAAAATGAAGGAGGAAACTCTCCACGTACAAGGAAATTCACCTAATCGGCAAACCATGGGAGCTCCTTTGCTTCAATAGCATATAGGAAATCATCAAGCATCTTATCCTCAATTGGAGAACAATCATCATGAATTTGAGAAACATCTAGATGAGAAAGATGGTCCGCCACAATATTCTCCGCTCCTCTTTTATCCCTAATCTCAAAGTCAAAGGTTTGGAGCTCAAGAACCCACCAGATCAACCTTGGCTTGGATTCTTTCTTGGAAAAACGATATTTGAGAGCCGCAGGATCCGTGAAGACTATGGTTTTGGAACCCGATAGATAACAACAGAACTTCTCAAATGCATGAATAATAGCCCAGAATTCATTCTCCGTTGTAGTGTAATTCCGTTGAGCTCCATTAAGAGTCTTAGATATATAATAGATCACATGAAGCTTCTTGTCAACTCTTTGACCCAAGACACCTCCTATTGCCAAATCATTTTCATCTCAGATCAACTCAAATGGCAAATCCCATCTTGGAGCTTGAACAATAGGAGTAGAGATTAGAGCTTTCTTCAACTTATTGAATGCCTCCAAACAGTTATCATCAAATACAAACTAGGCATCTTTTTGAAGAAGATCATTGAGGGGCTTTGCAATGAAGGAAAAGTATTTGATAAATCTTCAATAGAACTCGGCATGGCCCAAAAATGACCTCACACCCTTCACATTGACCGGAGGTGGAAACTTTTCAATAACCTCAATCTTTGCCTTGTCCACCTCTATGCCTTTGTGAGAAATTTCATGCCCGAGAACTATTCCTTCTTCAACCATGAAATGGCATTTTTCACAATTCAACACCACGTTCACTTTTTCACATCTTTCCAAACACTTTTCAATATTTCAAGGCAAGCCTCAAAGAAAACCCCACCTACAGAAAATTCATCCATAAACACCTCCATTTCCTCTTCCAACATGTCTCCAAAGATACTCATCATACACCGTTTGAAAGTGGCGGGAGCGTTGCAAAGGCTGAATGGAATTCTCCTATAGACAAAGGTACCATAGGGAGAAGTAAAAGTAGTTTTATCTCGGTCATCAGGATGAATAGGAATTTAGAAAAATCTCGAATAACCATCAAGAAAAAAATAGTACTTAGCTTGTGCCTTGTTAGTCTTTCAAGCATTTGATCAATGAAGAGAAGGGGGAAATTATATTTCTTTGTGGATGTGTTTAGACGTCTATAGTTCATACACATCCTCTAACCCGTGACCGTCCTCGTTGGAATGAGCTCACCTTTCTCATTCTCAACGACGGTCATACCTCCCTTCTTTAGGACAACGTGAACGGGAGAAACCCACCTAGAATTAGAAATGGGAAATATAATTCCCGCATCTCAAAGTTTGGTGATCTCCTTCTTCACTACCTCTCCCATTTGGAAATGTAGCTTTCTTTGCCTCTCAATGGATGGTAGATTACCCTCCTCAAGAGTTATGTGATGTGTACACATAGCGGGGCTTATACTTTTGAGGTCATCAATGGTATATCCCAAAAGACCTTGATGCTTTTTAAAAACATCACATAACTTTTGAGCTTGGTGCTCACTCAAAGAAGAGCTAACAATCACGAGGAAAGTAGAGTTGGGTCCCAAAAATTCATACCTAAGGTGTGATGGAAAAGGTTTGAGCTCAACAATTGGTACACCTTTACCTTCCTTTGAAGTGGCAACTTGCAAAGCTTCTTGTCTTGAGATATTCATGCACATATGCTCATCCACTTCCTCAATGCTTCCATTAAGCAAATTCTCATATATATTGCCTCTTCCTTTATAGGATCACCTATCTTATCCTTGTTCATCAAGACATTCTCAAGAGGATCGTTAGAAGTGAGCAAGTGCTCATGCATGGAAGATACAATAAGATCAAGAGAATCAATCAACATGCAATTTTCTAAAGAAGAACATGGATACTTCATGCTTTCATTCAAGTCAAATTCAATGACCTCTTCTCCTACCTTGAGTGAAATTTTCGCACTCTTAACATCAATCATAGCACCTGAGGTAGCAAGAAAATATCTACCAAGAATTATGGGAATGGTAGCATCTTCATCCATTTTAAGAACCACAAAATCTACCGGAATCACAAACTTCCCTACTCTAAAAGGAACATCCTCAACCTTCCCCTTAGGAATCTTAATTGACCTATCGGCCAATTGCAAAGTGATTTTGGAAGGCATAAGTTCCCCTAACTCAAGTCTTTGATAAATCGAATATGGCATTAATCTAACACTAGCTCTTAAGTCACATAAGGCATTATCAATTTGCATCTTGTTAATGGCACATGGGATAGAGAAGTTTCCGGGATCTTTCAACTTGGTGGCATCTTGTTCATTATAATTGCACTATAATTCTCGGTCAAGTTGACCGTCTCCACCACATCACAAGACGTCCTACCACTAAAAATGTCTTTGAGGAATTTTGCATAGTTGGGCATTTAGGTAACAACTTCAGTAAAAGGTAGAGAAAGATGAACTTGTGCCTCATGAATTATTGTGGATATGGAAGCTTGGGTTTCACAATCTCTTTCTCCACTCTAGCCTCTCTAGGTGTCTCAATCACAACATCACTCAAAGATGCACCATTTCTCTCATCCTCTACCAAGACCACTTTGGGGACCTCCTTAGTTCCACTCTTCCTACGCAAACTCTCCTCAAGAACCTTACCACTTCTTGTAACAATAGCATTCACGGGTCTCTTGGGATTCACGGGTCTCTTGGGATCAAAGCATTGGCAAGTTGAGAAATTTGGTTTTCTAGCATCTTATTATGAGTCATCACCTCATTGAATTTCTTGTCACTTACCACCATGTAAGTGCTCAACAACTTTGTTTGATTTTCAATGATTTCCTCCAAATTAGTCCTAGAAGAAGGGGATTGTGAATAGGAATTATCAACTTGAGTCTTTGGAGAAAATCCCGGTGGAGGGCCTCTTTGAGCATTATTTTGAAAATTGTCTCTCCCTTGATTGTTCCAATTACCCCTATTTTGATTTTGACCATAAACTTGATTATGGTTAACACCACCTTGATTATTATTTCCATAACCTTGGTTTTCATTACCATAATTTTGGTTTTGATTTTGGCCACTATAACCTTGATTGTTATAGTTACCTCGAGAACTTTGGTTCCCTTGGTTATAATTGTCAAAATTACCATGGGTTTTGTAATTCCTATTCTATTGACCCCTTTGGTTATCAAAACTTTGCACATTATTAATGTTTGACACATAGTTCACATGTTCATTCTCATTATTTTCAAAATCATTATTACTCTCCAGAAAAGCATGAGGGTAATTACTAGAATCATGGTCATATAAACCACACACATCACAAAACAAACAACCACTAGACATGTTATTAGAAGAAGGAGGGGGGTGAGAGTTAGAAGGAGAACCTCTCCTCTTAAATTGGGAGGGAAGACTTAGAACTTTGGAAGAAGAACTCTCTAATTTTTCCTTGATTACACTCACTTCCTTCCCCAAGTTTGCCAGTTGTGAGGAGAGATTCTTGATTGCATTTAAATGATCAACCGAGTACACCGAAGAGCTACTCTTGCTTGTTGATTCTCTCTCACCATCTTACTAACATCCTCAATGATGTCCACCACTTCTTCTTCCGTCCTATTCATGATGGGACCTCCGGCTCCTCCATCTAGGCATGACTTGATTTAAGGACTTAGGCCTCCATAGAAAATCTGAATAATTTGATAGGTTGGAATTCCATTGTGAGGACACTCCCTTTGATTCTCCTTATATCTCTCCCATGCTTCATATAGGCTTTCACTTGGCTTTTGTTTGAAGCCTTGAATCAAAGATCTAGCCTCCGCCGTTTTCTTTTGTGGATAGAAACGGGTTAGAAATTCCTTTGTAACCTCGTCCCATGTAGTTAGAGAATTCGGCTTCACCTCCTTGTCTAGCTATTCCAAAGCACGCCCAATGAGAGAAAAAGGAAAGAGATTGAGGCGGATGAATTCTTGGGAAACTCCGTTCACCTTGATAGTATTACAATATTTTTCAAACTCCTTGAGATGATTTAGCGGGATCTCATGCTTGGCTCTACTAAATTGTCGCCTCTCTATCAAAGTGATCATAGCCGACCTAATTTCAAAATCATTTGGCGATGTTGTAGGTGGAGCAATTCCACTCTCAAATCTATATGCACCGAGAATCCCTAATTCTTTCAATGCCACTCTCGGATTCTTTCCCATTCTTGCTTGTTCCTCTTGTTGCGGTTTTTCCTCAATTGAAATGCTAGAGCTAAAAGATCGCCTAGCAACCCTTAGTCTTGTAATATTCCTCTCAATCTCCAGATCAAATGGCACAAGTGAATGACCACGTGCTCTATGCATACAACTCAAAGGAAATGGTTAGTAGCACAGCTACAAGTGTAGCCTTAAAGATGAAAATCTTTTTTGTTTTTTATAGAATGAAATAGACTCGACAACTATAACAAAGCACCAATGTCATTCCCCGGCAACGGCACCATTTTGAAAAGGGTTAGAACTAGGTCGTCATTAAATTCTCCCTTGGTCAAACTAAATTTGTAAACGCTTAACAAACCTTATACGAGTATAGAGGCTAGCTAAGGGTCAAACCCAAAGGAATGAACTGAAGCTATGCTATAGTCTAATGTTAAGCTAAATCGAAGAATTATCAATGGTTGAGTTTTGTAACTAAGATAACAAGAATCAAGCAATTCAAAGAATTTAATCAAATTGCTAAACACTAGGGATATAGGTTCCACATAAAAGCTCAATAATCATGCTAATTGATAGATCACCCAACTGATTCAAACATTGCAAGGGACAAACATTAGTTGCAATCAAAGGAATTAAAAGGTTATCTCCTATAAACCTAACTAGGCTTCACTATGAATGGTTAACAAGGAGAATCACAATCAAATTCAATCAATTAAAGCAATTCCCAAATCAATTGTCGTGTCATTGAAATTTGCAATGCAATCTAGATTAATGTTATAGGTTGATCACTCCTAGTCTAATTAATCACATGCACAACTATGTCAACCAATTTAATTGCAACAATTCAATCAATCAAGGATCATCAACTAGAAAAAATCATCAATCAAGCATGCTTCCCCTTTTCTGTAGCAACTAATCTACTCACTAATCATGGTGAAAGTTAAAGCCAAAACAAATTCAATCACAAACATATTCATCTCAAGTTAAATACAAAGGAAATACAATCAATCAAAAAAATTTCAAAACTAAATCAAAATCCAAACCAAACATTTAAGCATAAAAGTAAATTGAAATTGAAGTAAATTCAAAGGAAATAAATCTCACAAACTTTGATTTATATGAAGAAGAACTCCAAACTTGATTGAAAAAACAATGTTGAATTACAAATCAAATCTAATGATTATTACAATCTCTACTTTCTCTATAACTTCTATCTATTTTCTCTCTCTAAAAACTAAGCAAATGAAATATTATTTAAAAGTTTTTACCTTCAAAAGGATTTACAAGAGTATTTATTGACAAAGAAGAAAAAAAAACTGATCGGCCGCGCCCTCTCCAAGAAAACCCCGTGGGCACGTAGAAATGGGTAAGGAACCATTAACTAACTCCGCGGGCATTTTGGGAAAAACCCGCGCCTGCAAGTACTGTAGACCGCACCCGCGGCAATGCCACCCACGCCTGCGGGTGTTTGGAGCTTCGCCTCCGACGATCAAATTAGTACTTGAATGTGAGTAGGAGAAGGTGCAGAAAATGAAATGAGATCTTATCGGATTCTAAGATCATGTGTTTCTTTGATGTAAGAGAATGTAGGGAAGGTGTAATAAATGATTGAATGTGTCCTTAAAATTTGGGAAATATCTCCCTATTTATAAGGTCATTGAAGAACGTGCCCCTTCTAGGTCATTTGACCTAGATTTGGTGGGTTGTGCCGTTTTACAGTGTTTTTGGAAATTTGTCCTTGAAGGCTGCAATTCCGGAAAGCGTTTGAGGCTGACACGTGTCAGCTGGCAATTGGCCCAAATGGACTTGCCAAGGCTTGACACATGGCCCTCTCTGATTGGTCCACGTGGACAGGGTAATTTTACCGAAAACAATTATTCTGATGGAGCGAAACAGGGGATAATTTCCCCTTATAAGAGCAACCGAAATCGAAAGTCACTACTTTGATCCTTAAAATTTTCATTTTTATTTTCCTTTATTTTATTTTCTTTTTACTTTCTTTATGTTTTCTTATTTTATTTTATTTTCATTTTCCTTTGATTTTATTTTCCCTTTCCTCTTTTATTTTCTTTTAACCTTGTAATTATATATACCCACTTTAGGGTAGAATTAGGAGAATAATTTTTTTAGAGAATATAAGAATCCAATTTTAGATCTTATATTTTAGCCTAGATTAAGAGCTTCTCTCTCTAGTTCTAGGGTTAGTTTAGGAGTAGTTTTAGAAAGAGAAAGTGAGGGATTTCAATGGTTATTTGAGAGATTGAATATTCAAGATGACAATTGTATTAAAGATCTCCATTATCAACCAGTGAGGATTTCTCACTCTCTCTCCTCTTTATTTCTTTGTTTAATTTCATGTTTGTTTGGTTTGATTTTGATGTTTGATTCTTGATGATTGTCATAGTTCTTGATATTTTGTTGATTCTTGATTTCTTTAGTTGTTTGTTGATATATGATGATTCTTGAGTAGTTTTTTTGGCTAGGAATTAGGTTAAACTTGTATGATGATTGATTTTGATTAATTTCGGAATTTTGTTGATTGATTGTTGATATTAAAGCTAAGTGATTAATGAAGGATTGCATGTGTGTTATTTGATTAGGCCTTAAGAATTGCGCTAGATTGCATAGTAATTGCTAATGACACGACCAATTGATTTAGGAATTGCAATTATCGATACTTCTAGACATAATAATAAGGATGACGAATAAATCTTACCTTAAAGTTCATGAAGAGACATTAAGTTACATAGGAAAAAGGCTATACACTAAAAGCACACTACTTGTCTAGTAGGATAAGTGGGAGCTTAATAGGAATGGTGTCCTTTGAACAAGTGTATTTTTCCGGTAGATGATTCAGAATTATTAAAAAGCTAATTATTCCGTAAGGTTTAGTGATCGGGATGCCTAGGTGGAGGCCACTTCCAATCAATAATATTGATGTATAGTTAATTTCACAGCTTAATCTTGACTAAACCGTTCGGGTCACACCCAAGCAACTCACGATCTAACACGACGAATTAATTTAGAAGAAATTAATGAGTCGCTCAAGTAATTAATATTTAGACGTCAGAA